TATTTCATTCATTTGTTTTTCTTTGATTTTCTGCATTACTATTTGACAGGTTTTTGCATCAAGAGCCATGGAATTTCAATGCCAGATATTTACTCACTTTAAACTATTTCCAAAAGGCACGCGAAGAAAAATTCCCTCGACATGCTTGCGCTGTTTTAGAACGGCTAACATCTGTGGCTCTATCAAATCATCTTTTTTACCTCGTCAAAGATTCGTTTTTCCATTATCAACACTTTCAGCTTCTACTCTGTGCAGCCGAGGTTAATTTGCAGCAAGCCAATTATAGCGAATGCTTGAGACTCACACAAATTGCTTCGACTTTGCCAGTTCATAGTAGCTCTCTCTTTTTCGCACATTTGCTTCAATGCCGTGCATATGCTGCCAAAGGTGATATTGTGAGTCTGAGTAAAGAATACGAACAGTGTATGGATCTTGGAACCGATTCTCACATCGGCTGGATATGTTTGAAGTTCATCGAGTCTAGATATAGCCTGCAAGATGATTTGACCATTATACCCTTGAGATTCGAAGATTGCTCCAAAAGTATTGAGGTCTCGTGGAATATTTGGATGGCTTTGTTTGATATGGTGCAGGGATTGATTGCTGTTTGGGGTGGTGATTTTGTTGCTGCAGAAGGATTTTTTGCACAGGCTTGCTCTATGGCTGATAGTGAGAATTGTCTGTTCCTTTGTCATGGTATATTACTTAATTAACTTAAGAAATATGTTTTCCACATTTTTTTGTGTTCGAAACCAAGTGGTTTTCATACACATTTGACTTATTTTTTCTATTTTATTTTCTATTTACTATGTTCATAGCTTTTTTTCAATACTTATACTTTTGTTTCAAAACGTGATTTTTGCGATGAAAATATATTTTTCAAATTAAATTTTGGTGTTGTATTCGAAACCAAGTGTTTTTATACACATTGACTTATTTTTTTTCTATTTTATTATCTATTTACTATGTTTCTTAGTTCTTTTAATGCATAAACTTTGTTTCAAAACGTAGCTTTTGCAATGAAAATATGTTTTTCACATTAAATGTTCGTGTTGTGTGCGAAACCAAGCTTTTTTGGACATATTGACTTATTTTTCTATCTCGGTCTCTTTTTCATAGATTTTTCTAGATCTCAAACTTTTAATTCAAAACTTAACTTTGGCGATGAAAATATGTCTTCCACATTTTAAATATTATAGTTGTGTTCGAAACCAAGTTTTTTCAGACACATTGACTTACTTTTTCTATTTCATTTTCTATTTACTATTTTATTTTTCAAAGTTAATTAAGTTAATCACTATTATTATCCATTTTGATCTAGGTGCCATTTGTATGGAGCTTGCTCGACAGACGTGTGAGTCTCAATACATATCACGTGCCATAAGAAGTCTGAAGAAAGCAAAAGATTATTCTCAGGTGCCTTTGCCTATTGTATCACTATTATTGGCACAAGCCGAAGCAAGCCTTGGCTCGAAAGGAAAATGGGAAAAAAATCTTCACGATGAGTGGTTTTCTTGGCCTTCAGGTTCGTATTTTTTTTCGTTAATGCATCTATTTTATGTTGAAACACACAATAAATCATCTTCTTGCTTTTCTCATATGCTTCATCCGGTTGAAAGATGCTTCTTGTGATTAGTTAAATAAGAAGCTTTTTATGTCGATTAGTAAATTAGCTTTGTTCTTATTGTGCTATTTTACGAATCTCCTGTCATTTTTCTTGCAGAAATGAGACCGTCCGAGCTTTTATTCCAAATGCATTTGCTTTTTTCTGCACAGCCGAAAGATGGGGCTATCGTGTCTTCTCCCAGATTAGATTATCTTTTACGGGCAATCCATATGAACCCATCATGTTCGAGATATTGGAAGTACTTGCTCAAGGATTTTTAATGTTCGACTTATATTTTAACGAGCGTGTCCTCTAAATCTTGCTTGCTCGAGTTTTTTCTCGTTGTGTGTTCTGATTAGAGAGTATATTTACAAGTTCAAATTTAGAGCTTCCCTTTGTCTCTTCTTTCCATGCATATATTTACAAGTTATGAGTTTATCAACTTTAATTCACTATTCATCAACTAACATAATTTTAATTTACTTTACATCATTTTTTTTTTATTTTTATATCAAATCAACTTTCGATCACGCGCTTAACAACTCAGGACTTTGAAGAAGGTTCATTTAATTTAATCATAAAAAGAGCCAAGAAAGTAAAGAAAAATCTATTCAAGAACTGATGGAAAGGAATAATGCAGCATACTGAAGATAAGTTCAAGACATTAACAAATCCATACGAACATATAAATATCTAACAGAGAGATGATATGATTTTCTTTTGACTTGTATTCAAAGGCAAAGAACTCTCTTATGCTAACACACACACACACACACACACTAAAAGAAAAAAAAAAAAATGAAAACAAAGACAAAACATTGACGAAATAAAACTAGGTAAAATAACTTTGCATGTAACCATGAGTATAGAACAACCCAAAATGAAAAGTTTTATCATAAACAACCAAGAACTCGATTCGGCAAGACAATTTCATTAGAAAGGATCAAATGCCATAACCTGGTCTTGAAGTTTACACCTAACACTAAAACTGAAATATCACTACAAACAAGCAAGCCAGTTTATACATATATGTGCAGCAAACATTGATAGTACATAGACACAGTTCGACTAATATACATTCTACGTTGATTAGAGCTTCACTCGGATAAACTTAGCTTTTGATGCCACGTCAGAAACCTGTAGCTTCTAAAGAATCTAATAGCTGCTCTTGGAATTTTATCCTTCCTCCCAATCTATGTCATCTTCTTCATCTTCAGAAGCTTCAGCTTCCAAATTCAAGTCGACTTTAAAGCGTTCAGTTCTGCCACCTGAAAGGTAATTCCATTCCAATGAATGAATCGCAAATCATACCACTCCAATATAGGCTACATTTGGTAAACCTAAGCTAGCATATAGCTTTTAAGTGAATTTTGAGTTTATAGCTGATAGCTTATGACTTATGGCTGAAAAGCTAACTTAGATGATAAAAGTGTTTGATAAAATTAGCTTATAAGCTAGCTGAAATAAGACTTTCAATGGACTTATTTGAAAAGCTACCGAGGAAGCTTATGAAATAAGCTCGAGCTTTTTTCCTACCAAACCAATCTTATTTGAATACATGAAGCTTATAATCAAATAAGTTATAAACGAGCTTATATGCTTACCAAACAAAGCCGTAGTAGAAATACTCTGGATTAAAATTGCTATGGTTTTAAAGAACAAATATAAATAGTATGATAACCACAAATCTTTAGAATAATGCACTTACAGTTGGAAACCAAACAAAAAAATCTTGATTTCTTCCTCATATTATCGTGCAATAATATATACAAAGGCACACCCAACCAAAATATCATTTTTTGCTAATTAATACCCCATCTTAAATTATTAATTTATAATTAATAGAAACAAAAGATAATGGTATTTATTTACCTGTAGGACGGGCTTCCTCCCATTGAACATCATCACCATCATAATCATTATCATCCCGTTTTGACTTCATGCCAACTTGGCGGTTGGAAGGTGAGTTATAGCCCTCCTTAGAGATTGTAGCACTAGCCGACTCCTGTTCCTTCTTGACTGTTTCTTCTTGTTCACGTTGGCGCTTTAGTAGAGCATCATAATAAGCTTTGATGTATGCATCCTATAAACACAAATGCAAAAACCAAAACAAAGATAAAGTTGAAACGTACGAGTTGTATGATAAAAACAGTCGATAATAGTAATCCAGAAAATAAACAAGAACGATAAGTTCTTCTCTGGACAAATACCTCGGGAAAAATCCTCCCGAGCTTAAAGCCACCAATACAAAAGGTAACCCTTTTAATAACCTTACACGCCTGAAGCTCACTAATTTATAAATATACAATAGATTACAAAGAAAAAGTATCTCTNAAAAAAAAAAAAAAAAAAAAAAAAACCTGTATTTTCTTTGCTTCATCATCAGCAATTGTGGATTTTTTGTCATCAGAAAGCTCGGAAGCTTTCAGTGTCCCGTGACTCCCGTCCATCTTCATCTCTTTGCTGGCCTCTCCACGTTGCTCTTTTGTGAGAGTCATCCCTTCCTTAATCATCCATGGGGGCAAAACCTTCATAGGCGTACTTGTGTTTACCGATTTGACATCTTCTCCTTTATCCCCAATACCAGAAAAAGCAACTTCAACCTGTATAAATTGTCAATAGCACTACAAATTTACTGCTGCGTAGATTGGTTCCAACTATTACAATGTTTTGTTAAGTTTTAATTGCACAACTCTGTGTAAGTAGTACTTTATCAGCCATTGTACTATATGTTTCCGATGAAATAAGCAACATAATCTAAGGAAATTAACAATAACTAATTTGAACCGGACTGGTCCAAGAGGTTGACAAGTTCGATCAAGGTCAAAAGAATGATAATTAATTTGAATTTTTAAATATTTATATAGTATTTTAAATAATAAGAAAATATTAAATCATAAAAAATTAACATCTAAAAGCATTTAAATCAATACAAATGACATGCATTAATATTCAAATATGTATTTTCATTTATTTAAAAGAATTTATTTTACAATAAAAATATGAAATTAAATATCTGACAGGGTCAGACTGTTGTTTTTTTGGGGGGAAGATAAACCAGGGGTCATATTCCTAATTCTCTCTGCAAACTATCTCCTATTTCAGTACAATAAAGAAAGCAAAAATAAAAAATAAAAATAAAAATAAAAATAAAAAAAGTTGCAAGTAAATAGTGCAACCTTAGTTTCCCCAACGTAAGGCATAGGTGTTCCACCAAAACCAAGGCCCTGCGAAGACTTAGAAGGGTCATTTTGATTCAGTTCTCCATTGGCAGACCGGTTAGCAGCATTAGCTCTAAGTTCCCAAGCCTGAAGATTTCCAAATTCAGGAACAGGTAAATCCTTCACCCTTGCAAGCTGATCCATTAGTGGTTTGAGTTGTTCCTGTAATAGAGAATGACTTTCCATGGTTAATTAGCGAGAAAAGTTCAGTGAGAATAAAACATAAACACCCGTACAATTCGAAAGCAGAGAACAAAGTTCTTGAGGGCTCACAAAGGTATTTGAAAAAATCTGTTTAAATGTATAAATTTGTCTAAACCGACAGGTCGTCATGGATAATAATAAAAGACAAACCTCCATTTTTGCCAGCATGTGTTTTATTTTTTCATGACGGCGCCTTCTCGCATTATCATCTCCATCTCCCACTTCTTGTGCAGCTAACTTGTCACTTTCAGCCACAAGCACCCCATTGCAGCTTTCACAGTGGAAGTACTCGTCATATGGGGAGACCAACCGGAGTGCATCAAGGGCAGTGTATCTATTACCCAAATAAATGTCCAACTTATAAGAATAGCTAAAGACAAAAAAGTGAAGTGAAAAACAAAAATTAAAGTAAAAAAAAAAAAAAAAAAAA